ATCAATATCATTTACAATGAAGCATTGTAATCATAAGCTGAAGCCTGACTTATTTTAATATATCCAGCAGCTGAAACACCAGCTCCCTATCCATCTTGTCTGACCCTGAATCAGGTCACTTCGATCGCCTTGGACTTCATAAATGTAATAAGTTATATCTCTACAAATTATTTCCTTACAGGGTATCAGGAATGAGAGTAGCTTTCTGTGCTCAAAGAGAAATACCCAGGAGGCTAGGGCCTCTAAAAATCTTCATCTTTATTCCATAGGTTCTTAATTCATGAATGGGTTTTAAGAGGTCCTTGTATGCAAAATTTCATACAAGTATGCATTTTTCACACATAATTTATACCAGCTTTCTTAAAATACTCAAAGGTAACTATAATTCCTGAATTTAGAAATCATACTCTCCTACCCTAAAGAGCTTGCACTATAATTTTTGCTCCTACTCCATTATCCTGAATTACAGTATAAAGGATTTAACTCCTTAATATAAGCTTAGGGTACAGGGTGCATGAGAACAAAAATCATCCTTGGATCTACAACCCTCTCTAACTACAAGTCCAGAGGTTCTGGGGATCCCATGGTCTTCACAAAGAAACCATCTCTGACTGCAGGAAAATAATTGGTATATTAATAATTAATATTTTAATTTGGATGTCGCAGAGAAAATACCTCTTCCCTCAAAGTGTTTGTGGAATCTTGAGAGGATTCAGTAAAAGCAAAAAATTCAAAACCTCCCGTGTACAGTAGCCACCATGCCTTCTGATGGCTCTTTCCACAAGGATTAGTTACCATCTATCCTTAAAATACTAAGAATCTTAAAATTGTAAGAAACCTTAGAAATCCAATTTCCTATCCAGAGCAGGAATTTCATCTTACAATAGCCCTTGCTGAGGGAAAGTCATCCCACCCAGGTCTGGGTCCTTTCAAAGATGAAGTCTTGACTTAGCTTGCAGGGCAGCCTATCCCAGTTTTAGAGATAATCCTAGTGTGCTTCACAGACTTTCTGCTGTCGAGTTAAACTATGAGCCCAGGTAACATTCATCCAGTTCCTTTTAACTAAATATTTCTTGAGCAACTACTCTGTGCCGGCACTATACCAGAACCTGGAGATACAGTGACGACTGTGACACACACTAACCCTCACCTCCTGGGGACCATACACCTTGTTTAGGATTGTTCTTGAAGTGGGCCAGGGTGAGCCAATACCCTCTCTCACAGGAGAGCCTCCACATTAGAGATGACGGCCAGGTTCCCTCAAGCCTCTCTTCTAGAGGCTATTTATCCTCATTTGAAGTGTTTTGCAGACCCCTTCACCATCTCAGTCAGGGGTGCTCTTCATGGAATTCTGTTGCTCGGTGGTCATCGGAACAACATGTTGTTCAATTCAAGCACAATCCTTGAATCTGATGATTCTGAGACATAGATTGATTTATGGAGCAGAGTCTGGGTTGCATACTCCAGAAAAAAAAAACCTTCCCCCAGATGATATCCATGCTCTAGTTAATTTTTATCAGTGAAGAGAACAGAGAAATCCATGAAGAATGTCAGCGTGGCTCTCCAAAAATGCGGCCAGCCAAAGCAGAGCCCACTGTTCCCATCCACTGATGCTGCTCTTCCCCCATGATGGTGACGAGCCTCCCCTGCTGAGGCCATGCCACCGCTTCTGAGCTAAGCAGCCCTGCCACCTGGAGGCACCCATCTTAGCTCCAGATACTAAACCAATCATATCCTCTGCCCCATCCCAACTTCTTCACTCCCTCCGCATATGGACACTGAGAGCACTGTTTCATAAACTTCCTGAACCAAAAATGTCAGAGTCTGTTTCTTGGGGAATCTCGCCTACAACTGGGGCCCCCAGGTTTAAATAAGTTCAGTCCAATCAAATTCTAGAGCTGAAATGACTCTTCAGAGTTGTCTCATTTCCCACAAGTGGACCACATGACCTATCACTGCGTGGGGGTGCACGTGCCCTGGGACATGACAGCTCTCTTCAGCTGGTACGAAGTCCCAGCAGCTGAGGGGATGGTGCATCTAAGCCCTGTGGGTGGGTGTGGTCCACAACATCCACTGAGGTCCTGAGTGACTGTGTAGAGTACAGCCCCATCTACCTGCACAGGACACATGCATACATGACAACAAACCATATGTGCACGCGGGGGACAGGGAGAAACCCTGACACTTCATGGTTAATTTGTTATTAACAGCATAGCCTAGACTACCCTGACCCATCACTGCAAGAGATGAATACACGAAAATAAACACGAAACACCTCATGCGATAGGGGCCTTTCCACCTCTTTCTTCGTGGTTCTCCAAATGTGTTCCCTAGAACAGCATCGCCAGCATCATCCGGGAACTTGTCAGAAATGCAAATTCTCAGGCTTACCCCAGACCAATTAAATGAGAAACTCTGGGCACAGGGCCCAGTACTCTGTCTTCCAACAACCCTTCCGGGTGACTGTGATTCATGCTAAATTTGACAAACACTGCTCCAACTCATTTTCTAATCACCTAGACAACATTCCCCCATCCAGGACAAAGCTGTGGGGTCATCTGAGTGTCTCTCTTACTTCTGGTCGCCCATACTACTCTTTACAGTCCTCTATTCTACCCATCTTTATATTAGATTTTATGATTTTGTCTAGAAGTGTGTCTTTTGTCATAGACCAAGCCCTCGTTCAATGTATTAGATAATTGTTATTTCTGCATACTCAATGCTTTGCATGGCTCTAACATAAGAGTGAATGCCCAACAAATTCACTCCATTAATAAATATGCAGCACACATGACTTGCCATGGATTTTTCTGGCTATCTCAAAAATCTTCCATGCAAGAAGACAAGACAGATAACATCAAAAATAAACACAATAAAGTGATGCAGATACTATGGCAAAATATTACTAATAATCATATGCTTTGTGTCCAACACTCTCCTAAGCAGTTTGCATGTGTTAATTCACTTAATCTTCACAGTTATCGCATGAGGTATGATTCTAGGAAAGGAACAGAATTCATCCTGACGAAAAACTGCTTTTTTGTGTGGCCATAATTTTTCATGAGACTCTTGGTTATAAAAGGAAGACCATATCCAAGTCTGGGATTTGGCTACCAACGAAGATAGCTAAAGCGAAGAAGAATGTAAAGAAATGGCCTCCTTGGATGCTGATGTTTTGATCGCTGATTTTCTTTTTCATTTTCCACTTGAATTTGAGAGAAAAAACTGATTGATGGTAAATGTCTTAAAAATCAATAAAATCTCAGCCCAAAGAGAAACTTTCAAAGGGTGAAATTTTAGACACTGGGGGCAGGGAGGTTGATATTAAGATAAGAGACCTTCAAATCATAGCACCTAAGACAGTTGTCCTGCTCTACTTTTAAACCAATCTTTCCCCTAAACTGTAGAAAACATTTTCTCCATATGGTAGTTCAAGCAGAAAATTAAAGAAGATTGTTTTATGATCTGAAAGGGTTATTGAAAAGTAGGAATATTAATACTGTTAATACATATAAGAAATCCTTGAATTCCCTATCTTGAACTTATTTCTCTATAGATTCATGACTAGTGTTTGAATTAATCACCACTATTTACATTCAGCAATTCTCCCCAACGTGATCTGACTACCTCTGAAAGGCTATATTATCAGGAAAGGAAAAATCCATAATATTGGGCAACTGAAATGATTTTGTAATTAGCATGACATGGTTTTCTATAGCATCACATTAACTAGGAGCATAAAAAAGTCTGGGACTAACTCGAGCTCAGTGTTGAGTGTATTCCCTTTCAGCATTTGTGAAAGAAACCATGCATCATGCATCACGTTACATAGATCAGAACACAATATTATCAGCAATCTGAGGCTAGGAATCTCTGAATTTCAGAAATTTCAGGAAAACAAGACAAGCAGTGTGGCAGATGGTAAAACTGGAGCAACAGTCACGGTCCTTCACCCCTTCCTCCAACCATTACTATGTGATTGTGTAGTTCTTCCCATAAATGAAGCAGAATAAATCTCCCTGCCCTCTGACTTTGTGTTTGGCCCTGTGGCTTGCTTTGGTTAACAGAACAAAGCATTAGGGACAATAGTGTTCAGCCTTGATGCTAGGCAAGAGAAACTTTGTAGGGTTCTGCTTGCTCTCTTGACCTCTGCCATCTCTAAGAGAAGAGCATGCCCAGACTGCCAGTCCCAGGAGGAAGATGAGAGATCCATGAATCAGAGCCAGGCAGCCACCCTAACCAAGTCCCTTCTAGCTCAACCAAGCCTCCACCTCCGCAGACATGATGTGAGAAATAAATGCTTATTGTTAAATGCCATGAATGTTTTGTGCTATCATGCTGCATTCCTGTGGCCACGGCTGACTGATAGAGGCGGGTATCTGTTTTCTATTCCAAGTTGACTTTAAATGCAAAGTTAACAAAGTGAACACATGATGACTAGGTTTCACCTTGAAATGGAAAACTAGGAACAAGGCAACTAGGAAAAAAAAATGAATAAAAAAATAATAATAAATGGCTCCTTGAATTGGCTTTCATTTCAAAGATAACAGAGAAGAAATCCAGTTCTCTCAGTGAAACTCAGGGACTACGGCTTGACACTTTTAATTAAAAAGACATTAAAAAATTAACACAGAACTCTTCTCACTTTGCTCCAGGGCAGCTCATGAAAGATTGCTGTTGCGCTATCAGAATGCATAATATCTACGCCCAGGCCCATCTGCTTCCCCTTCTACAGGAAAGACTGAATGTCGGCGCCTCCAGTGAGAAACTGTCCCGGCGAGGCTTAATTTCCTCAGCACTGATAACATAAAAGCAATCTACTAGAATAAATTAGTGGATGATTCTAAAGTGTACATTTTTTATCTTCTGCCATATTCCTGACAGAAATCAAAACAGTCCAAATATTTTTCACTACCAAGGATGGAAAGAGATTTATTTGAAAATGCACAATCTTGTTTCATCCTCTTAAGAAACACCTTGTGTGATGCTTGTGGGTGGGGCATTGCTTCTAAAACAGGAATCTACATACAAGTCCTTGGGAGATGATGTTAAAAGTAGGCTCTGATGTAGTAGGGAGGGAGCGGGTTCCAAGATTCTGAATTTCTAAAAAGCTCCCGTGTGGACTGTTGCTGCTGCTCCAGAACCCTCTAGGGGATTATTCTTTACGCAGAAGCAATCTCCATACAATGAAGTTATCCTGTACTTCAGGACTGAGTTCCAGTACTAGGAGAGAGCATAGTGCAGCAGAAGGAATGAAGTCGAGTCAATCTACTTGGTTAAGTAGGATTTAAATCTTGCCCATCCACTCCACTTGCAGTGTTTTAAGTCACTCTGTGACATATCAGCCTCCATTTCTTTGCCAATAAAATGGGAATAACCATCATGGGAAAGGAATTAACCTATAGAAAATCTTGCTAAATGGTCATCAGTCAATAACGAGAGTTTCCATTTTTTAATACAGTAAATGCCAAATAATCATAATCGTACTTTCTTTAACTAACTGGCCAATGTTGTATGTTTGGAGAAGAGTTTATTCATGTTCTGTTTCATGTTTGTTCATGTATTTATTTTGTGATAAAATGCTTTAATCATAAAGAGACGTGGAAACAAGACTTTCTGAGATGTCTGAGATGTTTTGGTCCTATTCATCCAATGAAATTTCATCGGAGGGCACAGTCTGCTAAAACTGTGATGAGTGCTTTGAGGCACTCATATACAGAGACAAGATTTCACACCCTGAGAAAAGCTCAATTCTAGAAAGGATCAGATTGCATTTTGTCTGGATGATGTTATCTCCTCTCAAATCTGTTGAATTGGGATTGAATATACATCTTCATCAGCATTGTCCTTGTGCTTTTAAGAGGTATTCGGTTTCAGAAAATCAAAAAAAAATTTTTTTGTCATAGAAAGGGATTTTAGACGCTATCTTGACCAGCCACCCTGTTGTATAGAAAATGTTAAGAAATCTTCATGCCTTTAAAACTGGATTCTTCCATATTTAAGCATTTCTAAATATGTCTCTGGAAAAAGTCTTTTGAAACAAATGGGACAAAATAAAGCAAAGGATACCACTGAACAATTCTTAGTGCATATTTTTGGATGGAAGGAAATTGCTGAACTGATGGATTCTTGGAAGTAACTTAGTTCTTGAAGCACCTTGGGCAGATCATTTAATCGCTAAACCTCACAACTCTTTTTTGTAAAATGGAAATTTAAAATACCTACTTTACATAATTAGAAGGAACATAATAAGTGCTCAACAAATGATGGCAGTCACTTATTATTCTTTAATCATTTGGTCTTACCCTTTTCATGTAAGATACTAGGTGTCTCAAGTCAGTAAAAGTTAGAAAATTGGTTCAAAGGGCTTTACCTTGTAGCTTCTCATGAAAACACAAAGATGAATGTGGAGCTTTCCTGTACAGGGAAGTTTTTTTTTTTATTAAATTCAGTCATTACTCTTCTGCCTGTGAGCACACTCTCTTTGTAAACTCCTACTTACTTCCTCACAGAGATATTATAGCCCAGATAAGATATACAGCTACTTTGATGTTACAAAGAATCTTCTCCCCTGGAATCGGAAAGCCCCCACCTACATAGTGAACCCACCTCTCACCATGTACAGTCACCTGTGCCAGCAGCTGCGAGAACTGATGATAAGCCCAACAGGACCCTTAATAATAACAAAGCCTAAAGCTATGGGAAATCACATAGCTGGAAGGCCTCTCAGGAAATGAACTGCGGAGATATGAAATCGAGACTAAGGGGTGGGATTTTTTTTCAGCTATGAAGGCCAACCCTAGGCCTCTCTAAGTTTGTAATTCAATTATAAACACTCCTATGACATATTTATGGAATTTTAACTGGATTAAACAAAGGATAACCAACCCATGCACTACCTTCTAATATTGGTGTGAAAAGGTCAATGGGAATGTGGGAATTTGAGAATTTTTATGTTTTTGCAAGTTGCTTTCCTTAGTAAACATGCTTGAGATTCCCAGTCTAACCAACTGCCTCCATTTATTGAGCACTTACTGTATTCTAAATATATACTTATCTTATTTAATTACAATAACTTTGTGAAGTATCTATAGTTTTATCATCCCAATCTATAGATGAGGAGACTAGACTCAGAGTGGTTGAGTATAATTTTGTCAGAGAACTATAAAGTGGTGGAGTTGAGATTTATACAGCCTCTCTGACTGCTGGGCCAGTACCAGCTCCAACATACAAAATTGTTTTCATAACATCACAACAATATATTAAGAAAGGGTCCCCTTTTCCTCTGGAAAGTGAACTTTGCTTTAGAATTGATGAAATAGAAAAAATCAAATAAAAGACTGCCCACAGGCCACCTCCAGCTTTTCCCTCTAAATTTTTTATGAAAGTTGCACATGAACTATGTGGCTGACTTGGGTTTACCATACTATCCATACACCAAGGTTTAGGGAAATCCTGAGCTAATGAGCAACAGAACATCAAGATGGTTGAGATCAAGGCAGAGGGTTGGGGAATGGAAATCTCAAGAGAAGCCTCAGAAAGTAGGGGACAAATGAGGAATGGAAGGCTCAAGTGGGTCTAGAAATTCATAAAAGAAATTCCTACATGAAGAAAAGTTTGTTTTATTAGCAATAAAACAAAACATCCAAAACAAGGAACCTCTCTCTCTCTTAAAGAGATCAACTTTGCTCGGGAAATAGTTCTTTGAGATCTCTTCAGGGCAGGATTGGGAAGGGAGTGTGTGGAGGTGGTTGCTGGAGGAGGAGGAAGAGATGCCATGCAAGAGACAAGGAGGAAGAATGTGGCAGAGACAGGAAAAGAACCCAGGGCAGGGGATGCAAGAGAGGAAAACTGTTGGATGGGGATGTACAGGGTGAAATACAGTAGGCTTTCTGAGGCAACTGCCACCCAGGATTGCAAGGATCTTCAATAGAGACTGCTAGAAGTACTGAGACTAATGAAGGGCTGGAATTCTTGTCACGGCCGATGATGCTGGACAAGAGAACGTCTGACTTGGGGTCACATCTAGAATACGTTAGCCATCCTTCAGCACCACCAGAGAAAAGGATTCAGACTGCACCAAGGAGAGGGGGCATTAGATCTTTGACTGCTCTGGAATTGCCAGCATTTAAACTCTCACATGGCCCATGCCTTATTTTGTCTTGATAGCATGGCCCTGACCTCATTCTATAGCTCCTATTAGAGGATAAAAATAAATAACTGTGGCAAGTTTCACTTTAGAATTATCTTTGTATGCCCTTTGATGTCTAGTAAATAAAGTGCTTGATACATTTTATAGTAAGGAATAATTAATAAATGAATAGTCAAGCATATTTGGAATCTAAATTGTACTTCACACCAATGTGTCCTTGGACAATCTATGTAACTTCTGAGTCTTAGTTTCTCCAAGTGTGAAATTGAGGTAATAATACACACCTCACAGGGTTCATATAAAGAGAGAAAGGACTAATCTTTGCATGCATGTATGTATTAAATATGAAATGCACATAAAGCATTTAGCAGAAGACCTAGAATGTGGAAAGTGCACAAACCCTATGTGTTAACTAGTGTGTTTAAATTATAAATGCTTTTTGAAGATCTGTTGACTTCGATCTGAAGCCTTATTCCATAGACTGGAAATCTAGAGCTCTCATAATATTCCTGCCAGTCCTCAAGTCTGGTTTTCTCTTACCTTCTTTTGCTTCCTTCCTATACTCAAGCTTGACATTATTCAGAATTAATGTGAGTGAAAAATATAGCACCTTCACAACTTCTCCCTCCAACTACCTCTTCCCATCTGCATACACATATACTAGCATTTATGCACTTTGGAGAAAATTCCAAATTCCAATATTTGAGGGTTTGGAGACAGTGTCACCTTGTATATCACGTAGGACTCCTATCATCATACTAACCCCATTCTCCTCTTCCCTTTTCCTATACCCGCCTCTCTGAGGAGTGGTAAGAAAATCCATTCCTAGAAGTACTACAGCGGAGGAAAGCTCATATTTACTCCTATTGGGTCCAGCCTTCCATTCTAAGTGCTTTTCTCAACGAATACAGTTATTTCTCCCTATGGAATTCTGGTGAATAAAACATTCTACGTTCTGATATGTTATTACTAATATAATAAGAATTCCCTGATGGTAAGTTTCACTAAGCCTGTATTAAGTCGACCAGGGCAGCTCCTGAGTCTTCCTTCCCTAGGGTCCTTCACAAGGAGATGCAGATTAATGTCTATGCGCAGAAGGGAGCTCGAGATGCTCTGTTTTTCAACTGGTCTAATACTATAAAATCTTCCACGTACAACAGTGGTTTTACATAAGTGATCTCAGGTAGAAGGATGGAGTCACCAAAGCTTAGAAAGCTCCAGATACCTAATTAGTGGCAAAACAAAGAATAAACTGGGTCTCTTGAACCCTAGTCCTGTGCCCTTCCCACTACATACTACATCACACCCAATGCCCTAGCTCAACCGAGTAAATCTCTGTAGACTTCTGATTAGAGACCAAGAAGTACTCTCCTTCCTGATCAAGGCTGACCTCAAAGTTCTAACTCATTTATTTCTATTTTAGTTCTTCCAAAAAAAAAGAAAGAGAGAGAGAGAGAAAGAGACATGCATTTCCTTTTAAATGATGGAGTGTTTGAAAACATCTCCAGGAAGGTTCTTTCCTTTTTTAAAAAATAAATCTCAGGGTTTGGTTTTGTTTGTTTGTTTGCTTGTTTTTGGTGAGATTGTTCTTCAAAAGGACCCGATGCACTTGGGTTGTGCAGCCATCTGCCACTACATGCTCAAGTATTGTGGTTAAAAAAAATCTGGTCACCCTGCCTTTGATACAGAAGAACCACATAGGGTTGAGTCATACGCTGTGGAGAGAACACAGCTAATTATGGGATGTGCTGGGCCCAGAGAAGATGTTAACTGCTACATAATTACAACTGCAATCCAAGGGGACAGAGTCATGGAAATTCAGTTAATATAAAGAAGGCAACATAAAAATACTGAATTCTAAACCACAAACTACTATATATATATATATATATATAAATATAATCCCATTCTTGAACGTTTACTCCCAGCATCCTCCAAACTTAAGATCTGGTTTGTCACCAGGGATGGCCATAAGCCCGCAGCACTTTTTCGCCATGAAATGAAATACTGATGATTGGAATGAAGATGAAAGGATGGCACTTGCTCTGGAGACACAAGACCTTGGTTCTAGCTTCAACTTTCCAATTAAAAAGGCAAGAAACCCTGCACAAGTCACTTAATTTGGGGAGATGGAGGAGGACGGAGGGAGGTTAGTTAAGAGAGTGTCATAAGTTTCCCCTTATGACAAACAGAAATCGTCCATCTCAGAAGAGTTACTGATCATCAAGCTCATGTCTGGCAGTATTTGGAATTCAGTGATGAATAAAATGTAGTCTAATAGTCAGTCTCACAAGGTTATTGCACTTTCTCTGAATGCCCCATAATTTACAGAGCTCCTGACAGTAATAAAACCTTACCCTTTGGGCATTGTCTGTATATATATATTTTTAATTTCAGGGCAAATTCTGATGAAGCCAAGTACCTTCTCATGATCAGTGGATCAAGAAGCTGAATGGTGGGAAAGTAGAAATAAAGCTTTGATGGGCCACATTCGATGACGCCTAGACCATGTTCTATAACATTCTATTTGAAGGACATGAGGCTACAAGTTGAAACCAGATAAGAAAGCAAAGGAATTTAAAAGAACCCTTACATAGCAGTTTGTGTGTTATACTGGCATATGTGTGTGCATATCTGTGTACATGTATGTAGCCCCATCCCTCAGGGCTAGCATGGTGTGACATGTGGTGGTTCTTAACCTGGGATTTGAATCAGAATCATAGAAGGAATCCGTGTCATACTATAAAATTCCCATTCAGTGGTTCTGTTGATACTCTTGACTTTGTTTTTCAAATAACAACTTAACTATAGAGCATATTATATTATGTTGCCTTTATGTTTCCTTCATCTTTCTACCTACAACTCAGATGAGGTAGAGCAGCCATCTCACGACCGTGAGAATGACAGAACCACAGCTTGAGACAAAACAAAACAAAACAAAACTGTAGCTCCTCCAAAAGCTCTGTCCAGTAGATTCTGCTTACACTTTATTAGCCAAAACTGGGTCATATGGCCAGGAAAGGCTTGGCTCCAAGGAATTCTATGGAGGAAAACAGAGAGTGTTGCTTCTGTAATAAAAACCAGGTTGTATTAGTTGGAAGCAGTAAGAAAGAAATATGCAGGAAACTAGCAGTGTCTGCCACCATGGACTTTTTTTTTTTAACATCCCCAGAGCTACATCTGAGAACAAAACCTGACCCCAAGTTCATGGGGGTTTGGTTTAGGCACAAGAAATTACTGACTAGTGCTAATTCTAACTCAAAGCTACTAGCTCTTTTCTATGTTACTCTAGGAGGTTGCAACACAGGAAAAAAAAAAATATATATATATAAATATATACATATGTTTGACATTGTTTTTAAGATGAAGCTCCTGTCTTAGAAATAAGTATATTTACTTATTATGTAAGTATAACACTTTGCATACAGAGGTCTCCATTTCTTCTAAAGTATGAATGGGATGGTTCTGAAAAATGAAGTTATTTTCACCTCCACAGCCTGGCAAACTAATCTAAAATGGACAGCACCTCCCCAGCAATCATGCAAAGCCAGCATCAGGTTGCCTAAGAGAAGACTGCCGTCTGAACAAGAAGCTCAAATCAAGTCTTCTCCAAAGTGTCTGAACAGCGAAGAAGAACAGAGAACACCGAAGGACTCTGGCACAGAACTGTGGCGCTCTCACCCACAGTCGGATGTAGAGGGACTTCCAAAGGGCGTCCTGCAGCATGTTCCTCGGCCCCAGGGAGAAGGAAGTTACTCTCTGCCATAGGCTTAATTGTGTCCCCTGAAATGCGTATGTTGAAGTCCTAATCCCCATATTTCAGAATGTGACATCACTTGGAAATCGTGTCATTGCAGATGTAATTAGTTAAGGTAAGGCCATACTGGGGTAGGGTGGGACCCTAAAGCAATGTAGCTGATGTCCTTATAAAAAGAGGAGATCTGGACACAGACAGGCACACAGGGAGTGAGGCAAGTGAAGATGAGGGCTGAGATAGGGGTATTGCTTATACAAGCCAAGGAATCCCAAAGAATGTCAGCAAACCATCAAAAGCTAGGAGAGAGGCATGAAGCTGAATGTCCTTCACCATTCTCAGAAGGAAGCAACCCTGCTGAGACCTTCATCTTGGACTTCTCGCCTCCAGAACGAGAGACAAATCCTACATTTCTGCTCTTTAAGGTGCCCAGTTTGTGGTACTTTGTGCCTGTGGTCCTAGCCAACTAACACACTCCCTGAAGAAAGATGATGATGCGTGGCTTTAGCTTTTTTCACCAAGAAGACAGACCTGAAGGCTACAGACCTAAGCAAACAGTGGTTTTCCATGGTGTCAACTAAGCATCTTATCCATTCTGATGGTTTGGCAGCCCTCGTAAATTAATCTACAAAAGAAATATGAGAATGTTGTGGCCCTGAATTCTGAAAAGTCTCTCTAGTTCATGTTTACTAATTTCCATGTGGAAATTGTTTTGTAGGACATTGGGAGAAGGCATAATTAGAATCAGAAAGTAAAGGTTGATTCCCTACTATGCTAATTAATTAGCTAAAAGACTTTAGCAAGTGACTTAAACTCCCTAAAAATCGGTTATATTTATGCGTAAAATTGGGATAATACCTGGCCCAGAAGAATGTTCTGTTGAGGATGAAATGAGGCAATGCTCCACACCCAGTTCTGTGGCTGCCACTTACAACCTTCCACAAAATTATAACAATGCTAATACTCTTGAACACTACAGATAGTGTTGTAATAGAAGAAAGCATAATTTCTGGGGCATAGTCAACTCTCAACAACCTATGATTATGAGAAAAGATTACTGTAGGAAGTAGGACCATTCATAAATAATCTAAAAATTGCATTTCTCCAAATTAAAGTTTTTATTGTTTTTCATTATAGAACTTAGATATGCTCACTGTAAAATTTTAAAAGAACATAAATATGTATAAGGTAGAATTATAATTTTATACTTCCCAACTCCAAGATTCAGGGCTTATTTTTCATATTTCTTTAGGTATATCTGTGTGTGTTTCATAAGCAAATTATTTTAAATAAAAATGGATCATATTATATATGCTGTTCTATACATTGACTCAGTTCTGTTCAATAACATATCTTCAACCTTTCATGCCATTATATATTACAAACAAACTCTCATTGTTTCAAAATGCTGTATGATAACATTACTATATGGACATACAAAAATGTAGTCACCAAGCTGTTTGAACATTCAGATTCGCTTGTAATTTGTAAAATTCACAATGCTACAATAAAGAAAAACTACACTTTGGAGAACGGATCTATTTTCTCCAATCTTCCAGAAATAAAATGAGGCCTTGTTGGCCGGAAGGAAAGAAAGAAAAGTAAAAGTTAAAAGCTTATTAATTTGTCTAGTAATTTGGTATATATGATGTCAAATAACGTATTTGCAAGCTGTTCTGTTGAATTTTACTGATAATTTTCCTGAGTGAGAATTAACTGAATTGGGTGGCAGTCTCAGAACCACGTGGGCACAGCCTTAGATAAAAGCTACACAATCCAATAAAATCGGTCTTCACTGAAAATGTGATGAATCTAATCAGAATGACCCAGCCCCAGGTTTCCGTAATTTTCCCCACACTTTGACATGGCACAGGTATCCCACTGCGAATCACCTCTAGAGCCAGATGGCAAAGCTTCCCAAACGATATGCCCAGAACCCACCCAGGCAGGCATCCTAGGATCTTAGTTTCATTTTGCAGATGAAATGAGGCAGGGTTTCTACTTAACATGCATTAAGGGAGAGAAGAGAAACATTTGTCTTCAGTGTTAAAATTTTGGGAGTGTGTTGAGGAGCTTAAACATTTTAGAGGCACTCGTCTGTGATAATGTGCTGGCAGGCATCCTGGGCAAGGAGACTCCCTTGCTTGGAAAGATGACCCTCTTTTCTCCAGTTGGACTACATGTACTCTGTGGTTTCAATCAAACCTCCGCTGAGATTTTTCAAAAGGGTATTTACTTGCTGTTCCTACAGTTCACAAAAAAGAGTACCTTCCAAGAATTGCCAAAAAAATTCTACATCAAAAAAACAAAGCTCAATGCATCGAATCAAAATATAAAGTTACAGTAATTAAAATCTTGTGGCAACTGTCAGGAATAGACAAGAAAATTAGAACAGAATATAAAAGCCTGGAAATGAACATAGATAAGAATTTACTTTCTATGTCTGTGAGTCTGTATCAAATAACAAATTTATATTGCATAGCACAGGGAATTATATTCAATATCTTGTAGTGACCTATAATGAAAAAGACTATGAAAAGGAATTTATGTATGTATATGTATGAGTGACACAGTATGCTGTACACCAGAAATTGACACAACATTGTAAAATGACTGTACTTCAATTGAAAAAAAAAAGAATTTATTATGTGATAAAGGTAACACTTCAAATTAGAGGTAAAATTATGTGCTACTTAAAATACAGTTGGAAAAATTAGATATCTATTTGGAAAAAAATGAGTTATATATTTCATTATATACACAAATGAAAGACTTAAATGCATAAAAGAAGCTTCAAAAAGTATTAGAAGGAAACAAATGCTAATAAGACTATTAATAAATTATGGCTTGAGTTATGAACATAAAGCACTAGAAAAATATATATGAAAGTCCTTTTAAGTAACACACAAAACTCAAAGGCCATATATACAAACATTAGTAGATTTTTCTAAATCTTTCAACTTGGATACTTTGAAAGACATCATAAAGATCTTCAAAAAATAAGGAGCAGTGGGGGAAAATATTCACCAAAAAATCAATATTCCTAATATTAGTAACTCTGACAAGTCTAGGAATAACACATTGAAACCATGAGGAAAATGCACAAAGGACTTGAACAGATAGCTCAAAAAAAGAAGAAAGCAAATCACCAATAAATATTAAAAGATATTCAATCTTGCGGTTACTGAGGAACTAGAAATAATTAAAACAACACCAAGACGACATTTTTTCACTCATCAGAGGTATGAAAATTAAAAAAAGTATCTGATGATGGCAAAAGTGCAGGAAAATGGACACTCTCACGCACTCCATGTAAGACAGCGAACAGACAGATCCTTTGTGCAGTGTAATTCCATGATGCTCATCACATTCTAATGCACTTAGCCTCTGGTAGGCCTGCTCACTAGTGCTTAAAGATATTTGTACAAGGGTGTTATCGCATCATTGTTACCTGTGAAGCACATGCCACCTACATAAAACCCACTGAAACACACAAAATGATTGACAGGGTGACTAGAGGGCTCAAGAGGGCAAAAATACCCAGGAGAAACCCAGCTACAGCGAACACTCTACAGCTCAGCTCACTGCCACTGCTGGAGGAGATACAACGTGGAAAGGGAGGACATTTTTTCAAACTTCCCCTCAGTGCAATGAAAGACCCAGACCTTGTGCACAAAACACTAGAGCCTGGCTTCTGTTTTGTACCCTAACTTGTGCCTCCTTTCCATCTGAAATCAAGGCACTACTTAAGAAAACTTAAATGAGTGAGCGGTTCTGCATCAGTGCCTTCTAGTGCTGATGTCAAAAGTTAAAATGAATAATGATGCACTTCCACTAAAAATGCACTCTTCTAGGGAAGTACACAAAGTCACATGTTTACTAAAGCTAGAGGGAAAGCCATCATCAAGGAAACACTGTTCCCTTTGCCATGGTCAGAATTATGCCCTCACTAATAGATGACTAGAATATCATTTTTCTCTGCTTCTTGTTACAGGTTCCTGCAGTTCTAACTTCTACAGCCTTGTTTATCTACCTAATTATATAGCACAGCCTGCATTCGGAAGGCCAGTTCCGTTTCATTATAGTTTCCCACAGAAACAAAACAAAAATATTTGTTTAAACTCTTCCATTGAGCAAAAAATGACTGCTGTTTTCCTATTCAATTGATACCAACATTGCAGTTGAAGACTAAAATGATGAACGACGCCGGTGCGGCTGAGCAGAGAGCAAGAAATTTTAGGCTCAGGGAACATCACCACGCCCTTTCTTCAAAATGGGTTCATCAGGAGGATGAGAAACTCAGATTCTGAATCACTGGGAAGACACCATTTCCAGTCCTTCTAACCACACACCTGATCCCAACCACTACTTAGGCTGAGGTCTGTCTCATTTTGTTTCCCCTCCAAACCAAAGGACCACGTCTATCCCAGGATGGTACACACTTCACTTTCAAACAGCGCTCCCACTGATCTTTCCAGATCCCTGGCATGGTATGCTCTTAGAACTAGTTGCCAATGGGGAGTCCACTTACCTCTGTTATGAAGTACAGGAACATCATGATTAAGGCTTCGGACAAAAAGCCGGACTGCAGAAGGGAATCCCAGCTACGCCACGTAACTTCTAAGTCCTTGAGCTTATTATTTAACCTCCCGCAGCACCAGTTTCTTTATCTGTAAAATGGGAATAATAAAAGCACTTACAGGGTTGCTAAGATCTTTAAAGAGATTAGTATGGTGTCTGGCACATAAATGGTATTAAAAAAGTTAGCTCTAATTGCTAGATTCTCATTATCTACTGCACACTGCTGCCTTGGCCAGATTTAGCCAGCAAAGCAGGTCACATGAATTCCTACATGGCCAAGGGACTGTCTGCAGGTTTCCCCAGGCTGTAGGTAAGTCCGCAGTACTGAAGGCAATTCCGCCAACCGAGAGGTGAACTGGGAAAGTTCCACCCAGAGTCCCAAGCATGCCTGCATCTCCATTTTCTATCTCACTTTACGGAGATGCAGATAAAAAGGACATCAGCCCCAGGGCTCTTTGCCACACTGACTTTCTAAAACCAGGCCTTCTGCAGTCCTAGCTGTGCACACATGTGTCCATTGCTAGATTGTAAACTTGATGGAGGAACCAAGTTCCCTTCCTCTTTGTATTTCCTTTGCTGGTTGCCTTGTCCTGCGCGTGGAGGAGGGTTGAGGCTAAAGGAAGAATGAATGAATGGTAGTCATATTTGTAAACAAGACAACTGAACCAGCCCAAGGCAAAAGGGAATTTGCCTCATTATTTCCTAACTCCCTTTTTATTCCCAACTGTAAAGATACTTCTCCCTTGGTTGTCAACGCCTCCCAGCATGTCTTTGCTTGTCTCCATCCAGGCTTTGGCCTTCTTCCCTCCAACTCTCTGTATTATAACTAACTCCTCTCTCCCTCTGTCCGCCCAGGTGGCAATCATGTGTGAATGCACTCATTAATCAGGTAAGCAGCCCCTAAGATTAGGTACAAACAAATCAATGTCATAGAAAATCAAAAACCTTAATTCAAGGAAAACTCATCTACAAAGAACTTAATGTGGGTCACTATGATGAGGGCAATGTCTAGTTCTGTCTCAGACAGGTGAGAGAAAGACAGCTCTATTTGATCATCCTCTCTCCTTGGAATCCTAATGGTTTCTTTAGGTGGCTCTGGGAAATGCTGCTGTACATGTAGGATCTGAGTAAGCTTGGCCAGCCTGCTGCTGCCATACTAATTCTATCTTCTCTCTTTGGTTTTTCCCGAGCTACACTTGAAAGAATCAAAGTTCATGCAGAAAGTATTGTGGGACTAGCTGCTGCACTGTTTACAGAATATTTCAGAGGAACCAGAGATAGCAGAAGGGGCCTCTGGTTTAAAGGTCAGTTAGCAGTATTGTTCTGAATACAATCAAATGTTTGATTTCTTTCAATGACCACATGTAACTCCTATTCACAGTCAATGGGTAAACATGACCAAAGGCTGGTACTTTCCCTCACAGTTGAAACCTCCAGCTAAATGAATCATAGCAGTTCTACGAGAAAGTGAGGGAAAAACCCACCAAGAAACTTTCAAGTCTAAGTGAGGAAGTAACTGGGGAAAAAAGGCGTGCCTAGCAAACCCGTTGCTTTTCCGACCTCATCTCCTCTGTGCTCCAAATCACCTAAGAGTTTCATGGATTGGAGAATGTATTCCATTGCATTGATGGGCTTTATTCGATTAGGGTGGAAGCTGCCTGAGGACAAAATCTCACGTGGCATAGTAGGAGCAGTGGATTTGGTGAGTCAGGGTGTCGGGGTTTGAGTACAATGCCTGCCACATGTACCTCTATAAATGCAGACTAGTTATTCCATCTCTTTGGGCTCCATTTTTATTATTGTTAAGACAGTATTATTGTCTGCCTCATAAAATTATTGTCGGTCCTGCTTCCATTAACTCATCCATCTAAAACCTAATGCCCAGGCCCAGGCATAATTACTGATGATCAATAATTATCCATTGCTACTGCTGAACACTGCGGTCTTCCAAGTACAGAGCCCAATACACAGAAAATTGTCGAGACAGACACGATTTAATAAATGAATCCCAAGTGTTGCTCCATAGAGCTGCTGCTTTGGTGAACAAATTAAATAGTCTAGAACAACCATATCATCACATCATCACACCTCTGCTTCCTTTATCAAACAATTCTATTCTTTATTCATTTAGTAGGATTAAATGAAATGTTGTAGCAGCTCTACAGGGATAACAGGAACTTAAAATATGTCAAAGGAGCTCTTTCCTTATTCAACAAACACCTTGGAAACAGAGTTTTCCAGACACTATGAGAACACTAAAAAAATGACAAAAAGATGGAGTTCTTCTATCATTTTTATTGATAATAACAGCTTATATTCATTACCCACCACACAGTCAGCATGGTGTTAGGCTCTTTACTTACATTAGCTCATTTTATGCTCACAAAAAACAGCAAGGTGATTATCGTGTTCATTTCAGAGAGAAGGAAAGTAAGAGTCAGGCTCAAACACTTGCCCGGCATTCTTCAGCTGGAGTTTTCCAGAGCTGAAACCACCTCTGCATTTCCAAAAGCCTATTCTTTTTTGACTCTCTGACTATCCCTCTTTCAACATCTTAGGACAATGTCGGGCAGAATGAGGTAAGTACCCTGCTGGAGGTATGGGTAAGCTTTGTGGAACTGCTGAACTCTGGGACTCCGGGAAGGGGAACAGTGCATTCAGGTGGTGGAGAATGAGGGCTGACTTTGCTCAGGGATTTAAAATGAACCATCTAAAATCAGGAGGGGCAAGAGGAGGAAGAGGAAGGGGACTCCAGGAGGTGAGAGCACTTCAGCAAATCCCCAGCAGCGCCACCTTGCAGGAGAGAGTAGCTGTGTGCCCGGACTTAGAAAACAGGCAGCAAGCAGGCACGAATTATGTCTAGGTAGGGGCAGAACTGTGTTGGAAAAGACTGTTCTTCAAAGCACGGACACAATCTTGCCACGTGCTCACAAACTTGTTGGATACCAGAAGCAAGGATGAACCTGAACCCTAGCTTAGTTGTGGAGAATCATCACAATTCCTATCTGAAGCAGGTCTGACTTAATGATGTTTGTACATCTCACACACACACACACACACACACACAAAACTATGAGTGCCCCATGTCTAAACAACCATACCTTGGGCATTCACTCTCTCTACTCATCTTCTGCCAAAAGGCATATTACCCAGAGATTATTTTCAATGCCACAAATAATTGGTGAGCAAATATATAAGGTGAAATCATCTGTTGCAAGACCTAAATGAGAGAGAGAGAGAGAGAAAGCACTTGCTTTATCGGTGGCCCCAAAGCAGGTGTTTTAAGAGGAATACAGGGTTTAGAAAATGACAGGCTTGGGCATCAATAAACGGCATACAGCGGAGGAAGTTCAGAGAACTGCGAACCCTCCAGATGGTCTGCTTCTCCCAGTTTTACAGATGGAGGGTTTTGGAAGTCCTGGGGCTGCGCCGGAACCCAGCCCCGCTGCTGCCCTGGACTGTCCTACCCCTTCATCCTTTAGTTGTTCTGAAGGCAGCGGCTGCCGCCTCTAGGAGACATCCCGCTTGCCTCTAAAAGGAAGGCTTTTTTTGGCTACAGCAAAAGGAAAGTGGGAAGATAAAACAAACTTTAATTCATCTGTTCTTACTCATAGGCTTCCCATCAAGGATGGGTTTTATCCTTATTTAGAATCAATACTAAGTAAAGAAAGTATAAATATACCGATTGAAAAACTCTCTCTGTGGATGCCTTGGCAGCCACAGTTAAATTGCTTGAGGTTTACAGACACCGTGCATTTTCCCCAGCGCTTATTCAGAAACCCTCATGTGTTAAACTCAATCATTTCCTGGGACCTTTGATATGATAGAATCTAAGATCTGTTCACAGGTTTTAGGGTTTTTGTTTGGGAGGGGAGTTTGTAGTTCTGGGACAGTTCGGTAAATCCCTAAGAGACCGATGGAGTTCTCGAACCCTAATTGCTTGTGCTGAATAATTTTTCCCCAAGAGATAAGAGCAACTACATTTAAGTTGAGTATTACCAGGTCTGAGAAGAATCAGAGCTGAGGATTTTGAGAAAGGGGAAGAAAAATGCATGCTGGGAATGCACCTAAAGGGTTTACAGCTGGATTTGTTCCCAAGCTTAGGAAACCTGAAATCCTTTGGCCGGGGCAGTCTCTGGGTCAATGAGCCTCCAGTAGGCTCACTTTTTTGAGGACAGTTGGGGTGGATTCACCTTCCCAGTAGGTGAAACCAAAACAGCCTTGAGTGATGAGCCCAGATCTCGGGCTGCTCTCTGCTCACTTTTCCACCACATTGTGCTGCCAAGATTTTCTTCTTCAAACTTAAAAGAAAGAAGAACATGCAATGACAGGCAGATGACTTGGAAAACATTGTCTCCATACTTTCTAAAGACTAGTTACAGAAGATGTCGCTTATGAAAATGTATTTAAGGTGCAAAACATGTGGGAAACCAGAAACTTCATCTGTCTCGGAGCTTTGAAATTATAATTTTAAAAAAAGCCCAGAAAGATCCTACTGTAGAGAAATCTGTACACATTTTCTTAAAGTAGCATGTCCTAACTTATTTGGCCAATGAAGACATAGTCTACACAAACCATCGGTTATCCCTGCATTGGATTTGTAGAGATATAGAAGTGATCACTCACACAGACCTATGGAAAGATCATCTTACCTACACGGTGAAGTGACCATGTCTTCCATTTCAGCGTGTGTCCATCAGTAGCCCTTTTTCCTAATTACCTTCATTCAGCTCAGTTTGTTTTTCAGTGTATTTTTTGACTGCCTGATCTCAGCTGTTTCCTCAGTCCAGCCTTTGACATCACACTTCTACATCCTCCCAACTACCTGGCATAATACTTACAGCTCACTGATACTCAAATACTTGTGATAATCCTGAAACTGACTTTTACAAATTTCCTTAGTTATTTTAGTCATTCAAATGTGAATTCTCAAGTTAATCCCTGACATTTGGCCCAACAGACTTCTACATTCTATAGCCCATTGGTTCTGTGGGGTGATATCCAGCAGTGCACACCCAACCTTTCATGTGTGGGCAAGAAGAGTGTAGCTAATCTAATCTTTACTTAAATATAAACCCAGAGTAAAAAG